GTGCTCTGTGACACCCAGCTGTGGTTTCCAGACAGAGCCTGGTCCTTGTGATTCAGGGGAGAGCGAGAGGGAAACCCGCTCGTAGGCAGTGTGTATTTTTGGAAAGTAAGTACACAGAGAAATGGGGGCAACCAAGGGACCAGGCAGATTTGTGCTGGGGAAGCAACAGAAAAATAACCCCCTTAAAATCCCTCGTGACTTACATCTCACCAGTCTTGGACTCGTGAATCTCCCCCCGACGTGAATGGAAACAAGGCTGATTTGATGGTTTTTGGAACCCGTCCATGTATCTATTTCATGTTTTGAATACAGCCTCTTCAAATTGCTCAATAAAAACCACAAAACCCAGCCCCAGAGCTACACACATTCACCAGCCCTGCCCTTGCATCATTAGCAGCCCTTTCCAGTCCAGACAATTAGTGTTCCCAGCTCCCTGCCTGCAAGGAGAAGGAGCTGGTGGAGGAGCAGGAGCTGCTCAGACCTTTCCACCTGCCAAGAGCCCCGGCGGGGTGAGCTGCTGCTCTGGGGACTGGTGAATCACGGGCTGGCTCTGCCTGTTGAGGTGGGTGAAGCAGGTAACTGGGATGGTCACCTCCCATCTGAGCGTGGGGCTGGGGGATCTCAAAGGCTTTCAGAGTAAAACTGGGGAAAACCAAATCAATCTCTCCTTGGAAAAGAAGCCAGGAGCAGTTTCACACACCAGCAAGGAGAGCACTGCGCTGGTGAGCAAAAAGGGAGTAGGTCAGGCTATGGGCAACCATCAGCTGCTGTATTTCTCTTTGATTTTTAGCTCCAGCAGAGATTTTGGGAGGTGACAAGAGCCTCGCTGGCACACACACCACAGCCACCCAGCCAGGGCACTTACCCAGTTTCTCTACGCCGGAGCCCGGGGGACACTCGGAGTGCCTGATGCAGAACTCCATCTCCGAGTAGTAGCCCTCCTGGCACTGACAGACACGGTTGTGGGTGGAATTGCACGGCTGGACCTCCACCTGCTTCTCCCCACAGATGACGTTACAGTACCGGCACTTCTCCAGGTAGTTCCAGTACTGGGTGTAGTGCAGCTCCGGGCAGGGCTCACACAGCGTCTGTCTGTCCCTGGTGCAGTGCTGTGCCACGAAGGTCCCCGGCGGGCACTGCTGGCAGGTCAGCTTCTCCTTCGTCACAACATCTTTCCATTGGTAGGTGGGTTGGGAGCCAGAGCTGAGCTCAGCCAGGAAAAGGAGGAAGGGGGCAAACATCCACTGCAGCAAAGAGAGCGCAAAGAGCCCTCAGCTCATCCTCTCGCTGGGGCAGTGGCGACAAACACGGCTGCTGCGTCACAGAGTTAGGGGATTTTTAAATTTTTATTATTATTATTATTTTTGGGGGGTTGGAAGGGACCTCAGGAGATCAT